ACTTGAGCTTCTCACGCAGGTCCGTGTAGCCGCTGGCGGCCGCCATGCCCTCAACACCACTCTAGGGTCCTCCGGGGCGGGTGGAGCGCCCGGACATGGCTCTTGGTGGACGTGCCCCGGGGCCCCCGGAGAGAAGGGGATCCTCAGAGCTAGACCCCCATGCGAAGCCCGGTACCCGGCTCGGGGAGTCGAAGGGGTGGGCGCGGGGTCGGACCTCAGGAGTGACGGGTCTCAGGAGTGACGGGTCATGCAGCGGTGGCGACAACGGTACTTCCTCCTCCTCCACCTTCCCCACGTCCCGGGAGGCAGGGGCACCAGCAGCGCCTCATGCCGCGAAGGGACCCTGAGGAGATTCGGCCCGACTCCCAGGCAGACCCTCCAAAACCTGGACCAGCCCGCACTTTAAAGCTCTCCTCACTACGTCACGGGCCGCCCGCCCGACGTCCGCCGGCGCCGCTCCTCAGCGGGCTCTTCGGGGCGCAAGCGCAGTGTCGCCCGCCACCGCGGCTCTACGCGCAGTGGGCATGCGCGTGCGTGCGGGTCAGGTCGGAAAAGGGGCCAGCGCAAGCGCAGAAGGGCGCTGCTGCTCCACCGCCCCTCCCCCACTCGCTGAAGGGCTTCGAGGGAGTACTCTCAAACAGCGACCTGCCTCCACGTCGCGCCTCCTCCAGGACCGAAAGGCTCCCTCCTTGGGGATTCGTTCACGCTGTCAACACTGTTGCTATGCCGCGTCATAGCATCATCTGAATGCCCCTAGATGTCTCAGTCCCAAGCGCGCAATCACCGAAGAACCGCCACAACCTAGGTCGCTCTGTTACCGCCCCTTTTGGCGCTTCCACTTTTTTAATTGGGCTGCCGGCCACGCGCCGGGCCAGCCCAGACTGGACTTTTCACAACTTGGTTGGATAGCATGCCTGCCAATCAGACAGTCTCCTTGGCTACTGTGTCCCTCATTTAATTAGTTGCGGGGAGGGCGGCGAGGACCCCCTAAGAGCGAATGGGTGGCTAAATAAGTGCCTGAATGGAGGCTGCACCGGAGAAATCCCTCAGGACACCTAGAAGAAACTTCTGACACTGGCGGAAACTCCTCAAACTGTAGGACCGAGGGCATCGGGCCTAACTCTAAACCCACATGGCGACGGCTATAGAAGCTGGACGCACACTGGGCACTTTCCCCCACCTCCCCCGCCGCCGCCGCCCGGAGCAGACGTTCCACTAGTCACGTACCGGTGGCGGCGGGCGCGTGCGCAGCCGCGGGGGCGCGCCTCTGGCCCGCGTCGCTCCTCTAGGGGAGTGGATGAGGTTATCGGGCAACTTTTTCAGGGATGACAGTGTGAGAAGTAGGCGCATGGATGCGGCTCCGCTATGGGTTTTTACTAGAAACCATTCAAAAGTTGTGAAGCAGATGGCGTGGCGTGGGCTGCTCGAAAACCTCCCATAGCTCCCCAGGATAAAGTTCAGCCACTTTGCTTGGCGCTCAAGGCCTTTGTCTGGACTCCTTCCAGGCTTGTCTCCTCCGCCCTACTTCCGCCTAGTCCTAGGTACAGACATACCCTGTACCTCTTCCTGGCCTTTGCCCAGGCTTTTTCTGCCACTTGGAATACTAGTTCCTCCCACCATACTTCTTGTTTTGATTTATTGAGCCTTGACTCACTTCTGTCTAGCAGCCTTCCCAGATTATGACCTGTTAAATGGGGATAATGTTAGTTCCCACCTTATAAGGTGATCTTGGAGGTGAAATTGTCATTTATTAAGCAGAAGAGATTGATGATCTCAGTTTCCTCCTTTGTCAGCTGAGAATCTCATTAGGCTCTCTTAAATTGTGTCTCAATCACTTATTTAACTCTCAGGTTTAGAGTTTGGCCAGTTTCAGCTGGCAGCTCCTCTTTGCCCAAGGCTGCACCAGCTGGGGCAGTGCCACCTGGATGAACCACTTACAAGTGGCCTCTTTCACACGGTGGTCTACTTGTATTCTGAAACCCAAAAGTGTCTCTTCATTCTTTTCCATATCATCCCTCCCTGAGCTTCACAGTTTAGCTTGAGTGAGGAAAAGATTTCAGGGCAAAAGTAGTTAACCTACAGTTGGATGACCTCATCTGTGATCTGTATTTTGAAAATGAAAGAGTAGAACAGAAGGGAGGCTTGTGATGCCTCACATTGGAGCCCATTGCACTGTTGTGGAATCCCTGCACTAAACCAGGTACTGGCTCAAGGACAAAGGGAACCCCCAGGAGCCAGCAGGGTGTCACTGGAGGTACAGCCCCCTTGGCAATGATTGCTTTTTTGTTTTGGTTTGGTTTTTGAGACAGGCTGTTCTTGAACTCACTATGTGACCCACCTCGGCCTTGAACTCTTGGTAATCCTTTGGTGTCAGCTTCCCTAGTGCTGGGATTGCAGGCGTGCACCAGGCTGGCAGTGGTCCCTTGATTGGTTGATAGCAGGCGGTCTCTGGTTCTTGCCCTCTACCCCCTCACCTCAGAATGCTGCACTGGAGGAGCCAACCTGAGGCAGTAGTTGGGTCGAAGTGCGGCAGCCAGAGCATTTGTGTTAAAGTGTCTTCCTTGACCCTTCCTAGGATGGTCCCACTGACTCCCCTACTCCGGCCTGTAGGCTGGACCTCCTAAATCCTTCCTACATTATCACCTTTCCCCCACCCCTGCCACTACCACCAGGGGCCGTGCCACAGAGGTTCCCAACCCCCTGGTGCCTGCAGCAGCCTCCCCTGAACTCCCTACCTCCTACAGTCACTCCCTGCCCTTGTGGTGGGAAGGGTTTTTCAAAGTACAATCTGAGCAGGTTGCCATACCCTTGATCCCCACTGGCAAACCCTCCAGGGGGACTCATGACTCTGGGATAAATTCCTAAATCCGTAATACAACCTGAGAAGCCAAGCTCCATCCCACCTTGACAGTTGCTTTAGTCTCAGGACCCCCACATGAGTGGACCCCTCCCCTCACCACCAGGCTAGCCCCCACCCACAGGTGTTGTCCTGGTTTGTAGTTAGTTACTTGACCATAAGCAGCTCCAAGTGTCTGGCGTTATACTTAATAGGCATTGAATGGCTGAATGAGTAAATAAACTTTCTCTGATGCCACTGCTCCTAGAGTTATGCCCCCACTACGTATCCATCCTCCAATTTCCAAGACTAGTGTTTCCCCCTCCAACGTTCCCAACACACCAGCATTTCCTATTCTCATTCATTCATTCATTCATGCACATGACACGTGTTTTTTTAAGTATCTACCAGGTGTTAGGCAAAGTCCAAAGCTCCAGGGGATACAGCAAAGAAACAGTTTTCTGTTTGGAATATTTATTCCTATCCTTTCCATCTTTTTTTTTTCCCCCCTCAGTCTATTCTTAAGAAACTCCTAGGCTGGCCAGGGATTTAGCTCAGTGGTGCTACCACCTGCCTCATAAGCGCAAGGTCCTGAGTTTGATCCCCAGCACCAAAAAAACAAAACTAAACAAAACCCTCCTAGGCATCCTTCAAAACTCAACCCTAGGGCACCATTCTCTGGGAAGTTCTTTTCCAAACTTCTCTTTTTCCATTATACACCCTCCTTGTTTTGGTACCGGGGATCAATCTCTTGAACCTTGTGTGGCTCATTCAGTGGTGAGGTTATGGGGTTGGGGCTACCCAAGGAGTGCAGAGTAGAGGGACAGACATACAAGGAGAACAAAGGCAGATGTCTCTCTTGATGTGCTGATCATAGACAGTGAATGGGGCACAGCTTTGCCTCCAATTCCTGCCTCCTACCTCGGCTTGTTGTCCAGCTACTTAGCAACTTCACAGAGGAAGTAGGCTACCAGGCACAAAAATGACCAAGGGTCACAGGTCTGGGGTGAGACACACCTGAGGAGGACATTGGGGGGTTGGGAGGTGACGCTGATATAGATTCAAGCATCAGGCCCTGAGTAAACCAAATACAGGCTGTTGTGGGGCTTCCCTGCCACAGGGGAATCAGAAGCAGAGTCTGTGGCAGACACCCAGCAGGAGGCCCATGAGCCCCTGTACTGTGGGCCAGCCTTTGACAGTTTCTCTTGCTGTCTGGCCCAAGTCTGCATGCTGTGACTCTAACCCAACTCTGGATCTCTCCTCTTGGGTTCATGGGTTGCTCCTCCTTCCTCCTGTGCTTTCCTCTTTGCCCCTTTTGGGGGTCACTGGCTCAAAGAGGTCCAGGGGCCACTCAGGGAGTCTTCTGGCAGAAGGCATCTGGAGGGCTGGACGCCAGATCAGAGCAGGGTGATCTCACTGGGGGGCAGTGTGAGCCGTTTCTCCCGGGCACTGAGTAGGTTCTCCACATGCACAGCCACCACACGACATAGCTCCAGACCCTGCAGGGGACACAGGTGACAGTCCATGCCCACCTCACTCTTTCCCCCCCCTCGCCCTTGGTGGGATGTGCAGAATGGAGACATAGATGGGAGAGGGGTGGAGATCACCATCTTCACAGAAATCCTCATACATCCCAACCCACAGGGTGCTTGGAGGAGAATTAAAAAAGGGAAGGCAGAATGGTGGGCTTCAGGCCAGAAGGGGCGAACAACCAAGTGACCTGCTGTGACTGCACTATGTGAGCCAAGGCCAGTTATTTCCCCTCTGAGAGCTTCAGCGGCCTCATCTATAGGGTCTCAGTTTACCTGGCCCTACCTCACAGGGCTGGGAAAAGGATTCAGTGCAATTTTACTGCATGTACATTCTTTACTATTTAAAAAAAAATTAATCCATGGGCTCAGGTGCGGCTCAGTGGTCCCACCTCTGAGTTCCTGGATTCCACCCCTAGCAAATCTCTCAAAATTAGTCCAATCCATAAATGCTAAGTATCTGACTATGTGTTGCCATAGTTACCCCCTGGCACCCACAGTCTAGAACAGGCAAGTGACCCAGCCATAGGTCTCCCAGCTCCAGCAGGATAGGGAAGGTACCAGGGAATTTCAGAAAATTGATCTGTGAATGTGGCTCCCAGACCAAAGCTAGTGTGGGAAGTCTCTTGGGGATTTTCTAGGGTAACAGAAGTGGCTCTAGGAGATGGTAAAATGGTGACAGCCACACTTATTGAGTGCTGACTGTGCCAGGCTTCCTTCTGAGAGCTTTATGTTTAATCTCTCCAGTGTCCCTAAGTACAATGACATCAGTTCCACAAGTGAGGAAACTGAGGTCCAGAGATGTAAAATTGTTTGCCCCGGACATCACCCTTACAGGCACAGGGTTTGAATTTGGGTGGTGAGAGGCCCAAGGCCACAGTTTGCAGTACAGTGTTCTTTGTGAGGGTTACCTGTGACCACCTGGGGGCCACCCCAGCTAATTAAATCAGTGTGGGCAATATTTTGCCACCAACACCCTGCTATGTTCTAGGTGGTGCCCATCTTGACAGATGTGGACATTTGAGGCTCTAAAATAAGCAGGAAGGCCTCATGCTCCCCTCAAACAGCTTTTTGCAAGTACAGATTGGGAACCTAAGTAGTGGCAATGCAGCTAAACTCAGAAACCACCTTCCCCTGGGAGTCCTCCCAGATTACCTCCTGTGTGGCACAGATCCCCTGGATACTCAACCCTGATTGTGATTTATTGGAGAGATTCTTTCATTTTAGCATATGTGCTGCTGAACTGAGCACTGGAGAGATTCTTTCATTGCTGACACTCAAGGCTCTTCAAGGGCCAAGGCTGAAGGAATCTCCATCAAATTGGTATTCCTGCATACAGGGCTGAGCCTGCTATACAGAGATACTCTGGACACACCCTCCTCCCCACAGGCTCACACACACATGCTGTTATGGCTCGTGTTTAGATGTCCCCCCAAAGGCTCATGGGAATGAAATGGGGCTTATCTGGAGATGGCTGGATCTAGAGTATGTGATACGGGAAATGATTCAAGGTACATTGAAAGGCTAAAGGGTACTGGGATTAAAGGTGTGAGTGCTACCTGCCCTAAGCAGTCTGGATAAAATAAAAGGGGCAGGAAGATACTGTTAAGGTCCCTTGTTGCTTTTGCTACCTTGTCGCACCATGAACTGTTGCCCCTCTGCCATGTGCCACCTTGCCTTGGAGCCAGCTGAATATGGACTGAAGCCTCTACAAACTGTGAGCTAAATAAACGTTTCTCCTTTTAACTTTGGGTGTTGGGTATTTTGTTTCAGAAATGAGAAAAGTAACTAAAACCCATACAGGATAGGCAGAGGTGGCAGCTTCCTTGCACGGGATGGTACAAGTAAGTGGAAAAGCCAAAGCTTTATCTGTCATCCACCTATCACTTCATCCACTCATCTAACAAATAGGCATTGAGTACCTACTATGTGCCAGGCACCATGCTGTGGAAACAGCATGAACTAGAGGGCCAGAGCCAGCCCTCTAGGTGCCAACATTCCATTGGGGAGGCAGACAATATGAAAACAAATATCTAAATGATTTCCAGTTCATCATGAGGGCCACTGAGGCAGAGGAAGTGAGTCATTAGGACAGCTGGGTAAGACTTCTGGAAAGAGAGGCTCTTTTTGCTGAAACCCAAATAAAGGGAGGGCGGAAACTCTGTAAGGAATCAGGGAAGAGTATTCCATAAAAAGGAACAGTGAATACAAAGGGCCTGGGTCAGGGAGAGGAGGGCAAGCCCAGCCTAACGTGCCCAGAAGAGACCAGAGTGGTGACTGAGTGAGCACACAGCAGAGGCTGGGAGAGGAGGCCCCAGGGGTGGAGGGCAGGTAAAATGGGGGTACAGGAATGAGAGGATGGGGAGATAAGCTAGAGAGGTCTATTGGCCTCTAGGGGAGATGCTGAGGGATCCTGGAGCTCAGGGTATCAGGGCCAGAGACAGAAATATGGGGCTGTCCAAGCAGAGAAGGGTTGGAAAGCCTTGGGGCTAGATAGGGTAACGGGGTAGAAACCAGACTACAACATACTGAAATGGCCTGGGGAGAAGTGGTGCTGGGGCAGGTCTAAGAGGGGAACACCTCAGAGAAGGGATTCTGGAAGTGGGGCCAGACTGCCAGAAGGAGAGCTTAGGTGACACAGGGAGGAGCAGGTGGGGTGTGGTAGGAGGGTAGGAGCCTTGTCCTAAGTCACAGGTTCACTGAGGGCCTTTGCTCTGGTTCTGTCCCTTACAGACAGGTGGTACAGTGGAAAGCCACTCTTCATTGAGAATCGGCACCGGGCCCATGCTCAGCAGGGCACATGGAGGGTCAGAAAGCGTTTACATGTGGCCCAGCCCTGATTTTGCCCCTTCTCTGGGCTTCTATCCTTTCTCTACTGTGAGGTGAAAACTCTGGTTCTCCCCTGCCCCATGGGGCTGTGAAAATTGTACAGGAGCCTATATCCATGCCTTTTAAGAAGCAATCACAGCACCAGGGATTTAGCTCAGTGGTTCTGCTGCCTGCCTCGCAAGTACAGAGACCCAAGTTTGATCCCTGGTACAAAAAAAAAGCAATCATAGTTGAGAAGACATAAAGCAGATGGGTCTCAGTTTTCCTATCTGTCAAGGGGAGCCCACTTCCCCCAACTGCAATCCTAGGCCCCACAATCTAACCTTCTTGCTTCAGCCCCAGTTTCCTGAAACCTGTGTAACTGCTCACTCACCAACCTTCTATGGCTCCTCAGGAAAAAGCCCTAGATTCTCAGTTTAACATTCAAGACCTCCCCTCCTCTGGTTATGTCTCCCTAGTGTTCCATCAAATGCCTTACTATTTTGCAAGTGACCTGGGCCGTACTACCAAGTTACCTTGCTGGAACACCATAATGACTTGCGGTTCTGTCTCCTGCACTGGGCTGCATGCTCTTTGGGGTACAGCCAGGACCTGACTCCTCCTGGAGCCAGGATCAGGGAGGACTAAAGGGCTAAAGGGCAGTGGAATGAGAGAGGAGGGCCTGGGCTCACCTGCTCCAGCTGCAGCTGCATGGTGCGCTGGGCCACCACATCTCCCAGCGCAATCTCCACATAGGGATAGCTAGAGTTGGCTGTGGGTCGCTGGGTCCGTGTAGACTGGATCTCCTTCAGAGAGAACTTCACCATCAGCTCCTGGAGTGGGGAAAGGACCCAGACAGACCTGTGGGTAGGGACAGTTTTAACCTTGCCAAACTTTCCCCTGCAAATCAGGTCAGAAGGCAGGAGGGCCCAGTCCAAGTATCCATTCCTTCATGACTTGCTGTATGACCTTGAGCAAGTCATTTTACTTTAGGTGTCAGTATCACCTGTGATTCAACCAGTGCTGATGCTGCACCTGTCGTTTGCTAGGCTTGGCTCACGCTGCCCGGGATACAGGGGTGTAGTGAGTGCTCTCACAGCAGAGCTCCTTCTGTGAACACCTGCACCCCTTTGTCTGGGGCTTTGTTTCTCGGCCAAGGAAGAAATGGACCACATGCAGGAAAGCTAGGGTGATGCAGAAGTAATGCTGAAAAAGAAGTCCTTGGCTGATGATGGATGGGGAGCGATGGCAGACATCCTGGCTCCCTCCCCACAGGAGAAAAGGACATGCTCTACACTGATAGTGGTGAACCTATGGCACACATGCCACAGCGGGCTGTTTCTTATCATTGAAAGCTCTAAAAGATTTGCCATCACTGCTTTATGATGTCCTCGGTCCACAGCTGGAGTGACCACCTCCAATCCAGTCACCCATACTGACAACTCGCCTGGTAACGCAGCTTTTATTGCAGCTTTTATCGTCTCTGCCCCACCTCCTCACTCCAGTGCCTCCACACGGCCCCACCTAGGCCCCGGGATGTGGAATATGACAGATTTGGAGTTAGGGCCTTTAAAGAGGAGATCAGTGGCCAGGAGTGTGGCTCGGGGGCACAGTTGTTGCCTAACATATTTGATGCCCAGGGTTCCATCCCCAACACCACAGACAATAAATAAAGAGGTAATTAAATTAGAACAAGGCTGCCCAAGTGGGCCCCAATTGAGTATGACTGATGTCCTTAGAAGAGAAACTCAACATACACAGAGATTCCTGGGATGTGCACACACAGAGGAAAGGCCACAGGAGGACACAATGAGAAGGTGGCCATTTACAAGCCGAGGAAGAGACCAGACTCAATGACACCTTGACCTTGGACATTTAGCTTTCAGAACTATGAGAAAAGAATCCTGTATTACATAAACCACTGAGTCTGTGGTATTTTGTCAGGGCAGCCTGAGAAGACCAAGATGCTATTTGAGGACTTAGCATATATGTTTTGTCCTACTTCCCCTTAAAATCAGCCCTATGGGGTGCATTCTACCATTATTCCCATTTTCCAGATGGGGAAAGTGAGGCTCTGAGGAGGGAAGAGACTTGTTAGACATCACATAGATGTTAAGTGATGGAGCTGGTCTTCCACAGTTGGTGATCTTGGCCCCTGGGAGGGTGTGGCAGGCCAGAACACAGGGAACAGATTGGCAGAACTAAACTGAAGCCACTTACATGGGTCTCAATGCTGAGGAAGTTGAGGCCATTGTGGTTGACAGCTAGGATGCAGGGGACTGGCACAGCAATGTTGCTGCAGCTCTGGATGAAGAAGAAGGAGGAGCCAAACATAGGAAAGGCACTGAGGAGGCCTGCAGTGGGGAGAGGGACGTTATCAAGTCAGCCAGCACATCCATGCCGGCCATGATCCTTAGCTTTCCTCCTCTCCACCTCTCTGGCCTCCCCTCCTCCTGGTCTCTCCTTTTACTTTTGATTCAGGCTCTTCTTCACTTCCTACTCTTTCTACTCAGAGTTAAGCCAGCCCAGGTAATGCCTTTGGGAGAATGTTAAAAAGTCTTCTTTCCAGGCAGGTGGGCAGCTCAGCTGGCACTGAAAATGCTTTTGTGCAAAAAAAAAAAAAAAGATGCTTCCACCTCCTCTTCTGGTACCTCCCCCAGTGATGATCTCCCCAGCCATGTGTCCCGTCCCTCGTTCTTACCCAGGAACTGGGCACGGGCTTGGTGGGGGCTGAGTGCCTGCATCTGCTGCCTGTGCTGGCCAATCAGGTTGAGCCAAGCCGAGCCAGCCATAGTGCGGTACAGCTGGGCTGGGATGTACTCCTGGACCTCTCTCCTGTGTGTGGAGGACACAGGGTCCTGAGCACCCACCATTCAATCCCCACTGTGCAGCAGGGTATGACGCAAGTGGACGTGATGATACACCTCCCTGGAAAATGAAACACTGCAGAGCATAATGGGATTGTAGGGGTGCTTAGGTACAAATCAGGTGCTCAGTCATTGCCAGGGCCAATTTCATTAGGACCATTATTTGCAAATGAGGGAACTGAGGCTCTGGAAAGTTCACATGGCAACTGAGTGAGTTGGTATATGAGGAACAATACTTGAACTCAATGTGGGTTGGTATTTTGTAGTTCCTGCATCCAAGAAGAAGCTCAAGGCTGGCCGTGGTGACACACGCCTGTAATCCCAGTGCTCGGGAGGCTGAGGCAAGAGGATCGCTGTGAGTTTGAGACCAGCCTGGCTACATAGTGAGTTCCAGGTCAGTATGGACTACATAGTGAGACCCTGTCTCAAAAAAACAAAACAAACAAACAAGGAGAAACTCAAACTGGAGAGGAGCAAGGCACAGGGCTGGGAGAAACATCTAGGCAGGCAAAGCAGCTATAGGAAGCTGGGCAGAGGATGAGGCAGGGGGGCTAGGCCTCTGGGCTGAGCCTGAGGGCCACCAGCCTCACTTTCTGCTCTAGCACCCTCCCCCACACCCATGCTCGTTTCCTCAGGGGAGCTTCTTTACCACTGAGGACACAGAGAACATCAGCAGCAGTCCTAGCCCATCACAGCTTCAGTGGGACAAGTGCTGGGAGAAAGTCAGAAGATTCCCCCTTCTCCACAGCTCTCCTTGGTAACAAACACCTCTTCTCTTTTGCATTGCCAAAGTAAGATCTGCTCTAGCATCTCAAACCAGCTTCCCCAGGTTTGCATCGTTTCCCCCCACACCAATTAGCTGCACTTCGGGAAGCCTTGGTTTCCTCATCTGTGAAAGGGAAACATAAAGAGTGGTTGGGGGGAAAATAACTTAAATAATGCATATGTAAAATGCCTTGTAAAAAGTAAAGGCTCAATATGTACATCAGTTCATATCAGTAATCCCAACTACTAGAGAGGTGGAAACAGGAAGATTACTTTTTAGGTTTTGTTTTGTTTTTTGTTTTTAGAGACAGGGTCTCACTAGGTATGTGTAATTCAGGCTGGCCTTGCACTCACTGCATAGCCCAGGCTGGCCTTGAGCTCATGGCAATCCTCTTGCCTCAGCCTCCCAAGTGCTGGGGATACAGGTGTGCGCCATCACAACTGGCTCATTTTACCATGGTTTATACTATGAGTTCTCAAAGTGTGGCCAAGAGTCTGGGAGGTCTGAGCTGGGTGTGGTGGCACACGCCTGTAATCCTAGCACTCAGAAAGCTGAGGCAGGAGGATTGCCACAAGGTTGATGTCAGACTGAACTACATACCAGAAACCCTATCTCAAAACAAACAAAAACAAACAAACAAATGAAAAAAAAGTGGGAAGGTCAAACCATTTTCATAACAATACTAACATGTCTTTTGCTTTTTCCTCTGTTACTGTCTTGAATTTGTACCATGAAGTTTTTTCTGAGGTTATGTGACTGGCTGCAAGACAGGTCAGGTGGTAACTGACTATGTTAGCGGATCTACAAATCCAGCTCTCTCCTATTAAATCAGACAGGAAAAGGATTTACGAAGTGTGAAACAGTGCCATTGTTTTCACTGATTTTAAAGTTATTTTTCATAAATGTTATTTATATAAACATGTAATACATTTTTTTTTTCAGTACCAGAGATCAAACTCAGACCTCGCACTTGTCAGGCAGGTGCAGCGCCACTGGACTGTATCCCCAGCCCTATTATTCTTATTTTTAAATTAATAAACCTGTGGAGTTTTATTGTTTTTGTTTTTGTTTTGGTACTGGGGATTGAACTCGGGCCCTTGCGCTTTTCAGGCAGGCAGTGGAACCACTGAGCCAAATCCTGGCCCTTGTTTTTGAGATATAGAATCTAATTTGCCCAGGCTGGCCTTGAATTTGAGATCCTCCTGCCCCATCCTCCCAAGTAGCTGGGTCAACATGTAACACTGCCTAGCTTAAATCTATGTTTTTAATTTTTTCTCAGTTATAATTTTGAATAGGATAAATCTATCAATAGATACAATGTACATAAACACAAGCATTTTAGGGTCCTACTTTTCTTTCTTTCCTTTCATGTGTGTGTGTGTGTGTGTGTGTGTGTCTTGTGTGTGGTGTTAGGGATTGTAACCAAGGCCTCAGATATACTAGGCAAGCACTCTTCTCACTGAGCTACATCCCCAGCCTTGGGATACTATTTTCTCTTTTTTGGTTTTTTGAGACAGGGTCTCACTATGTAGTTGAGACTGACATGGAACTCACTATGCAGCCCAGGCTGGTCTCGAACTCACAGTGATCCTCCTGCCTCAGCCTCTGGAGTGCTGGGATTACAGGCATGCTCCACCATGCCCAGCCTCAGAGATCCGATTTTCAAGTGAGTAAAAAGTCCTGATCCCAAAAGTTTGGGGATGACTGATTTATATTCTGAGCACTGATCACATCTTTGAGAACATCAGCTTACTTAATCCAGTTGTTGGATATTAAGGTTGCTTCCAATCTTTTGCGGTTGTTAGCAGTGTTGCAGTGAATGTGTTTGTGGCTAAATCTACAGAGCCATGTGTATTTCCTGGACTACAAGGTATGTGCGTCCTGAAATCTTCATTAAATGGAAGCTCTCCGCCATTATCATTAAATTTTCTCTGTGCTATTAATATCAGCCAGAAGCAATTTATGGAAGGGAGTCCTGGTCCTAATCCTACAGTTAACTAGAGAACTTCAGGCCCAAGATCAAGACGGCCCCTTCCCAGAAGCTCCCTCACTGCAAGAGGGGGAGCCTGGAGGCTGGGATGGGCAGTGGACAGCTCTGAGGACAGTGGGGTGAGAGAGTGGGGGTGCTGGTCCCTCTCCCCTGGCCACTGCAGCGGGCAGGCAGGTGCTCACACGCTGGGAAAGTAGAGGTGGTCCCTGGCACGGTGCTGCAGTGAGGCCAGCTTGGACACCTGCTGCAGCTGCTGCTCACTGGGCCGGCCGGCTGGTGCGCTGCTGAAAAGGCCCTTCAAGTAGTCAGGCAGCACCTGCAGGGAGCAGTCAGTCATGCGAGGGGCTGTTTGGCAGACACATTCAGGCATTTAGCTGCAAGGGCCATAGAGACAGGCATTTAGGAATCCAACCCTATCTACTTCTGGGGTAGGATGGTCCATCACTTTCCTGAGCTTCAAGGAATGATGACAGAGGCATATGAGGGAGAGCTATGAGAGATGTGGCCTCAAAGCCTACGATGGGGTCCCCACAGTAATGTGAAGAGTGTGGGATATTTAAAGCAGAGTATCAGATTGTAGTTCAGTGGTAGAACACCTCCCTAGCATGTACAAGGACCCAGGATTCATCTCTAGTACCCACTCCCCAAAGGTAATAATAAGAAAATAAAAGCAGAGCATCAATACAGTGGTATGCACAAGTGTCCATTAGGCCTGTGTTTCTAAAAATGGAGCTTGCTCCAGAATCACCAAGGGGCTTGTTAAAAATAACTGCAGGGATGCACCTCCGAGACTCTGATCCATAGATCTGAGGCAGGACTTGAGGGTTTTTATCGGGGTTTCTGCCAGTCCACAAATCCCCCTCCCCTGGTAACTTGGAATCAGAGCCCAGTTTCAAGAGGGACACCATGTGGCTACAAAAGCTAAGTGGCTGTGTTTTGTGAATGGAATTGCTGAAGCAGTGGTACCCATCCCACAAAAACAGGCCGTGGTAACTGACCTCACAGGCCCCCAGGAGCCCACAAGATCCCAGACCACGTGCACTGACCTGGTTGTAGTGCATAGTCACATACAGCTCATTCTCAAACTTGAGCGGCTGATCCCAGAGTATGCGCCGGAACCACAGCATGAAGCCAACATCCACCTGCTCCATCTCTGAGGCCACATCCAGGATGTAGGCACAGCGGCTGAGCGGGCACACATGCTGGCCTGCAGACAGTGGGGAGCCAGCACTGGGTGGGGAGACACTTATGCACCCGTGCAGAGGGCGGGTGCAGACCCTAACTTGCCACCTAGATGACAGGTCACCTCCAAGAAACCACCTTCCCACTGTGGAACACACCTGCATTAAAAGGGAACATGCACCCTTGTAAGCCCAGAACTCTGGGAAGCCGAGGCAGGAGGATTGCAAGTTCAAGCCCAGCCTGGGCAACTTTTCATCTTATTGACACCCTGTCTCAAAAAAAAAAAAAAAAAAGGGCAGGGATGTAGCTTAGTACGCTGGCCTTGAGCTCAATCCCCCATAATGTTTAGAAAGAGAGTATATTTATGCAACAGGGTGCTTTGTGTTTCACTGAAATGTAAAACATCTCAAAGGTGCAGGTGACATTAATTCTCTGTTATGGAAGGCTCCCTAAAAGCCTTACAGGGTGGCCTGCCTGGGACTGGGAAGACACCCTAGGTTATGCCCAGAGAAATCTAGGCCCTTTCCAGAGGTATTGGGGATGAGAAGCCCAGGAGGTTTTAGCCCACAACCCCAGTGGATGCCTTTGGCAGACTTCCTTCAACAGACCTCAGATAGGCAACCTAGTGCAGGTAGAGGTGAGAAGGTTAAGCCCTGGAGAGAGGTGCAAGATTTTCTTACTTGCACTGACATTTGTTTGACCAAAGAAGGGGGTTTGGCATGATTATGAGAGTTCAGCATCAGAAGGCCAGACTGCTGGGGTTCAAATCCCCACTGTGTGACCTTAGGTAAGTCATTTAGTTTCTAAGGTCAGCTGATAATTTCCCCTCCAAAGATATACAGTCCTAATCCCCAGAACTTGTGAGTGTGTCACCTTCATGGAAAAAGTGACTTTGCAGATTTCATTAAGGTTCTTGAGAAGGGGAGATTATCCTGGTTTATCTCAGTGAGCCCAATCTAAGCATAGGGTTCTTCTCAGAGGGAGGCAGGAGACTTAGAGTCAAAGGAGTGGGAGGATGTAAAGAGAGGTTGGGGGTCAGGAAAGAGAAGAATTCAGAGACTTTACCCTTTGGCTTTGGAGACAGAGGAAGAGACAGTGGGCAAAGGAACATGGCGACCTCTAGAAGCTGGAAAAGGCAAAGAAACAGATGATCCCTTAGGGCAGTGGTGCCAAACCTACAGCATGAGTGCCACAGTGGACATTGAAAGCTCTAAAAGGTTTGCCATCACTGCCTAGGGCTTTCCAGAAGGAAGGAACACAGCCCTGATGACACTCATTTCAGGACTTCTGACTTTCAAAACTGTAAGGTAACAAATCTGTGTTGCAAGCTGCTGAGTTTGTGATAATTTGTTACAACAGCCACAGGAAACTATCAGTAATACCATCTCTCTGGGCCTTAGTTTCCTCATCTGTATATGACAACTTTACCGGGTTAAGTGGATGAAAAAAGTTTATAGCATTAGGTGCTGGGGCTATAGCTCAGTGGCAGAACTCTTGCCTAATATGCAGAAGGCCCTAGGTTCAATCTGTAGAACCATACACACAAAGTTTGTAACACTAAATGTTTTGAACTGTGAATGGTACAGGGTGTCTACTCAAAAAATGTCTATTATTAGACCCATCCTGTTCCCCACCATCTCCTCCCCTTACATCTTTGCTGGACTTGGGTAGGCAGGGTCAGGGACATGGGACAGGGCTGAGGCATCAGTGGGGAGGTCCAGCTGGAGGTTGCTAGAGCTGACAGATTGGTAGAAGGCAAGACCACAGTCTAGGGTGGATGTGCACTCAGATGGAAGGGGCCTAGGGTTGCATGAAGGCCTCCAGAGTCCCAGAAGCCCTTGAGAGAAGGCCTAGTGAGACTGTGGGAGGGAGCTCCTTGGCCACAATTATGGAATGGGAGGCATTTGTGGCACCTTTGGGTTCCAGGACTCTGAGTTCCATGAACTCAGTCTGGAAGGACAGACACACAGAGAACAAAGCAGAGCAGGACAAATGAAGGGCTGAGGATGCTTTGTATACATAGAGATCCTTCCACAGAGGGGCAAGGATTTTCCTGGAGAAAGTGGCCCTTGATCTGGGCGCTTAAGGCTGGATGAGGGCTCTGTGCTGAAACGTCCTGGCAGTGGGAAGGAGCCTTTCACACAGTCCTCTCAGTCACTCACCTCGGTTGGTAACAACGAAGATCACATACTCATCGAACACCTCTGGGCGTGTCAGAGCCATCTCAGCACAGATCTCCTCCACCACGTCCAGGGCCACCTGGGGTGGGACAGGAAGGACAAGGCTGTGGCAGCTGGGCCTGACCTCTGTCCCATAAGCCCCACACAGGCCTCAGGAGCTGAGTGTAGAGTTTCTCAGCATCTCTTCACAGAGGTGCATGATCCTCTGAGGTCTCAGAGAATCTTCCTCATTCAGAGAGAGAACACAGCTTCTGGAGACTGAGCCTTAGGTTCAAATTCTGCCTTTGTCTCTATTTGCAATTCATATGAGGGTTAGCTTGCTCTTCTGAGAAATATAGCCACTACTCAGTGTCCATGGGGGACTGGTTCAGGACCCTTTCTGACACCAATCTAAGGACCCTAAGATCCTCATCTAAGATGGTGTAGTATTTGCATATTACCCTCGCACACTCTCTTATATAAGTTAAATTATCTCTAGATGACTTATGATACTTAATACAGTATCAATGCTATGTAAATAGTTGTTTTAATGTATTATTTAGGGAATAATGATAAGAAATCTCTACATGCTCAGTTCAGTTCAGACGTAACTTCTTTTTTCAGTTTTTTTGAGGCAGGATCTCTCTGTGTAGTCCAGGCTTGCCTTGAACTCACTATATATCCCAGGCTGGCCTCAAACCCGTGGCTGTCCTCCTGCCTCAGCCTCCTGACTGCTGGGATTACAGGCAGTGCCACCTGGCCCAGCTAAGATGCAATTTGTTTTTGGTACTGGAGATCTAACTCAGGACTTTGAGCTTGTGAGGCAGGCAGAAGCACCACTGAGCTAAATCCCCAGCCTGTAACTTTATGTTTTTCAAATATTTTCGATCTGCTGGTACAGAACCTGTGGATATGGAGGGTCAAATGTATGTCTTGCCTTGCGGGGCTTGGGAAAGCCTCTGAGGAACGCAGCATCTTGGGGGCTCACTTAACCCCGACCCCAAGGACTACGGCATCCCTGCCCTTCTGGTGCCTGCCTGCTAGGGGCATCCCCTCACTTACAGTGCATGTTTTGATTTTTAAATGACGTTCAAGGCCTCCAGGAAGAAGGAAAAGCTGCCTCTTGGAACTGCGACCTGCCTGGGGATAAAGCAAGAGAGGGAAGAGAAGCTGGGTGCTGTCACCTGAGGCAGCTATTGTCCCCTGCCACGGGAGGCCCCAGTCAAGGGGTCCTGGGAACACATGTATAGAAACACTTGTGCCCCTAGCAAGGCCCACCTGCAAACCCTGAGCAGCACATGTGCACCCAACGTTGGGGTCTCCAGGCAGGCTCATATCTCCTGCTCATCTCAGCCCCCAGGTCTACATCAGCTTACCAACATGGCCCGGAGCTCCATGCTACTGGGGAGTTCCAGACGTCCCCCGAAGCGCAGGGTCTTCTTCAGATTCTGCTCACAGGCCTTAGCAATCCCTGCAGGGGCAGGAGTCAAGGCCTTGCCCAAGGTTGGCAGTGCTCAAGGGGCTCTTCTTGCCCCCAGCCACGAGCCCCCTGTACTCTCTCCACAAGCCGTAGGGCAGGCATTTCCTTCCCCATTTGATAGTGGAGGATCTCAGCAAGGGACAGTGATTTCCCCAAGGTCAAAAGCTGGATTGGAACAATATCCCAAATGGTCACAGCCTTTTGCCTTGCCCTTGACTGTATGGAAACAGCTGTGACCCTGAGCTGTTGAGTGGGGAACTCATCCCCAAAAGGCTCCGAGCCTAGGGCAAGGCCCTCTGCCTCTGCCAGATGGGCACCTTGCCAATTGCCCTGCCTCCCCCAGGAACCCAAAGACCCCACCATCAGGCTGCAAATCTCTGGGCTCAGCAGTGCCCTCATTCTGCTCTGGGGAGGGGCCAAGAGTTCTGGGGCACATTCTGCTGCCTCCTCACATCTGGGAGCCCTTCCCTGGGGAGCTGGGCGTGTTTATCTCTGGGTCAGGGAATATTTTTAATTGAATCAGAGAAAGATTCAGAGGCAGGAAGAGTGAGGTAACCTGTCTCCCTGACTACCATCACTATAGGGTGACTAGAGAGGCCCTAGCCTCTTTCTTAGGCAGCCCTTGGGTTGCTATGGAAATAAATCTGAGAACTGGTCTCTTGCCCAGTACTGGAAGGGGCAAAGGAGAGACCCTATCACCAACTTTGGACCCACTGAAGACCCTTTTTGAGTCTCAGCATCACACTGGCTTCTTGCCCATCTCTTTCTCTGCCCCTCCCATGTGCCACCATCTAGGGCAGTATCTCCTCCAGGAAGAGGAGATAACCACCTAACCACCCCACCATGATAACAGGTGACCCACCACACCAACCCCTCTGGGAATGCCATAAATGTTTATTAAGAAAGTTAACATTGCCCAGCACTTTCTTTCTTTCTTCCTTTTTTTTTTTTTTTTTTTTTTTTTTTTTTTTTGAACAGG